CTCATACATTCCTCTCTTTGCCTCCAAGGACAAAGTTCTTTGTCTCCACAGACTCCTAAGTGCACCGCTCACCCTTTTCCCCTCATGAGTTCTATGATTCACCTCATCTTTCATAGACCCATCCGCTGACACGTCCACTCCCAAATATCTGAATACATTCACCTCCTCCATACTCTCTCCCTCCAATCTGATATCTAATCTTTCATCACCTAATCTTTTTGTTATCCTCATAACCTTACTCTTTTCTGTATTCACTTTTAATTTTCTTCTTTTGCATACCCTACCAAATTCATCCACCAACCTCTGCAACTTCTCTTCAGAATCTCCCAAGGGCACAGTGTCATCAGCAAAGAGCAACTGTGACAACTCCCACTTTGTGTGATTCTTTATCTTTTAACTCCACACCTCTTGCCAAGACCATCGCATTTACTTCTCTTACAACCCCATCTATAAATATATTAAACAACCACGGTGACATCACACATCCTTGTCTAAGGCCTACTTTTACTGGGAAATAATCTCCCTCTTTCCTACATACTCTAACTTGAGCCTCACTATCCTCGTAAAAACTCTTCACTGCTTTCTGTAACCTACCTCCTACACCATACACCTGCAACATCTGCCACATTGCCCCCCTATCCACCATGTCATACGCCTTTTCCATATCCATAAATGCCACAAAAACCTCTTTAGCCTTATCTAAATACTGTTCACTTATATGATTCACTGTAAACACCTGGTCCACACACCTCCTACCTTTCCTAAAGCCGCCTTGTTTATCTGCTATCCTATTCTCCGTCTTACTCTTAATTCTTTCAATAATAACTTTACCATACACTTTACCAGGTATACTCAACAGACTTATCCCCCTATAATTTTTGCACTCTCTTTTGGCCCCTTTGCCTTTATACAGAGGAACTATGCATGCTCTCTGCCAATCCCTAGGTACCTTACCCTCTTCCATACATTTATTAAATAATTGCACCAACCACTCCAAAACTATATCCCCACCTGCTTTTAACATTTCTATCCTTATCCCATCAATCCCGGCTGCCTTACCCCCTTTCATTTTACCTACTGCCTCACGAACTTCCCCCACACTCACAACTGGCTCTTCCTCACTCCTACAAGATGTTATTCCTCCTTGCCCTATACACGAAATCACAGCTTCCCTATCTTCATCAACATTTAACAATTCCTCAAAATATTCCCTCCATCTTCCCAATACCTCTAACTCTCCATTTAATAACTCTCCTCTCCTATTTTTAACTGACAAATCCATTTGTTCTCTAGGCTTCCTTAACTTGTTAATCTCACTCCAAAACTTTTTCTTATTTTCAACAAAATTTGTTGATAACATCTCACCCACTCTCTCATTTGCTCTCTTTTTACATTGCTTCACCACTCTCTTAACCTCTCTCTTTTTCTCCATATACTCTTCCCTCCTTGCATCACTTCTACTTTGTAAAAACTTCTCATATGCTAACTTTTTCTCCCTTACTACTCTCTTTACATCATCATTCCACCAATCGCTCCTCTTCCCTCCCGCACCCACTTTCCTGTGACCACAAACTTCTGCTGAACGCTCTAACACTACATTTTTAAACCTAGCCCATACCTCTTCGACCCCATTGCCTATGCTCTCATTAGCCCATCTATCCTCCAATAGCTGTTTATATCTTACCCTAACTTCCTCCTCTTTTAGTTTATAAACCTTCACCTCTCTCTTCCCTGATGCTTCTATTCTCCTTGTATCCCATCTACCTTTTACTCTCAGTGTAGCTACAACTAAAAAGTGATCTGATATATCTGTGGCCCCTCTATAAACATGTACATCCTGAAGTCTACTCAACAATCTTTTATCTACCAATACATAATCCAACAAACTACTGTCATTTTGCCCTACATCATATCTTGTATACTTATTTATCCTATTTTTCTTAAAATATGTATTACCTATAACTAAACCCCTTTCTATACAAAGTTCAATCAAAGGGCTCCCATTATCATTTACACCTGGCACCCCAAACTTACCTACCACACCCTCTCTAAAAGTTTCTCCTACTTTAGCATTCAGGTCCCCTACCACAATTACTCTCTCACTTGGTTCAAAGGTTCCTATACATTCACTTAACATCTCCCAAAATCTCTCTCTCTCTCTCCTCTACATTCCTCTCTTCTCCAGGTGCATACACGCTTATTATGACCCACTTTTCGCATCCAACCTTTACTTTAATCCACATAATTCTTGAATTTACACATTCATATTCTCTTTTCTCCTTCCATAACTGATCCTTCAACATTACTGCTACCCCTTCCTTAGCTCTAACTCTCTCAGATACTCCAGATTTAATCCCATTTATTTCCCCCCACCGAAACTCCCCTACCCCCTTCAGCTTTGTTTCGCTTAGGGCCAGGACATCCAACTTCTTTTCATTCATAACATCAGCAATCATCTGTTTCTTGTCATCCGCACTACATCCATGCACATTCAAGCATCCCAGTTTTATAAAGTTTTTCAAAATAAAACAATAAAATAGTCATTACAAAAATGTGATGTTGATATTCCGTAGTAAGGTTCGACTTACGTAGTCGGTCATAGGTTGGATGGTACATGTATTTATTGATTATAATGTTTTACCTATGTTCGTGATATTGAGCAAATGCATGTATAGTTTTTATATATTTGTGATGGGTTAGGGAAATAAGGTGTTTTTTAACAGTAGTTTTGAAAATGCTGGTGACTCAGTGGTTCTGGAGATTTCTGGCAGAGAGTTCCAGATTTTCGGCCCTTTTATGTACATTGGATTTTTGAAGAGATTTAGCCAGATATGAGGAATTTCATAGAGATTTTTGTCCCTAGTATTATGTCTGTGTGTCCTGTTGCAACTGTCAAGAAAATGCTTCAGGTTGGGATTTATATTAGAATTTATTGTTCTGTAAATGTAGGTTGCACAGTAGTATGAGTGAATGTTTTGTATAGTAGTTTAGGTCTTTGAAGAGGTGGGGGTGGGGGGGGGGTGTTGTCAAGCAGTGGATTGTGTGATCATTCGCATTGCAGTTTTTTGTTGGGTTATTATTGGCTTTAGGTAATTTGCCGTTCTGGAACCCCAGGCACAAATAGCATAGGTGAGGTAGGGTTAGGTCATTGAATAGTATATTGTTAGGTAAGACACATATGCAACAATTAGGTATCTTTATTTCAAAACGTTTCGCCTACACAGTAGGCTTCTTCAGTCAAGTACAGAAAAGTTGATAGAAGCAGAAGAGACTTGAAGACGATGTAATCAGTCCATCACCCTTGAAGTTTTGAGGTGGTCAGTCCCTCAGTCAGAAGAGTATTGTTCCATAGTCTGAAACAATATGGAGTTGAAGTGATAGGATGGAGCCTTATATAGCGCCAGGAGGTGAGACGTAGGTCACTAGAAGATGTAAGAACGTAGACGTTGGGAGGTCAGGTCCCTTTCAAATCCAGCCATTCTCACTAGTAGAGGTTGTTGAAGTTGATTTCAGGTCTGTACCAAGATACCCTTGTGTTGCAGTGTCTGACAGAGTGAACATTAAAATGGCATAAAATACCGACAGGTTGTTAGGTAAGACACATATGCAACTGTTGCATGTGTGTCTTACCTAACAACCTGTCGGTATTTTATACCATTTTAATGTTCGAATAGTATATTGTATGTAGTGCTGGTTGTGGTACATAGTAATGTTTCTTTGAGAGGATTCCAACTGTTTTAGATACTTTTTTTTATGTTTTGGATATGGGTGTTGAATTTCAAGTTGCTGTCAAGGTGCAGATCCAGAAATTTTCCCTCATTATGTTAAACATAATGTTTAGTTGGACCTCAATTTCTCTGTTCTCAAACATAATGTAGAAGGTTTTGTCTGTATTAAGTGTAAGTTTATTGGCAGTCATACAGGTTGATATTTTTACAAGCTCTTCATTAACAGTAGTGTGTGGTGAGGTAAGATTATGGTGGGACTTGAGTCCTGGAGATGGGAAGTACAGTGCCTGCACTCTGAAGGAGGGGTGTTAATGTTGCAGTTTAAGAACTGTAGTGTAAAGCACCCTTCTGGCAAGACAGTGATGGAGTGATTGATGGTGAAAGTTTTTCTTTTTCGGGCCACCCTGCCTTGGTGGGAATTGGCCAGTGTGTTAATAATAAAAATAATAATTACAAAAGTCATATTGCCAGCAAACAGAATGTCTAATTTGTTGTGATACATTTGTGTAATTCAAATTTTATACAATTTAACTTGGAAAAAAAAAACAAGATTCTCTCTTAAAAATAATCTCTTAAAAAAAAAAATAACACTTGAATATGAGAAATCAACTGAGCACATTGTGAAGAAAATCACACAGCTATTTTGCAGTGTAGGGACTGTGCACCAAACCTTCCTTCCTATCATACTTTCCCTTCCCCTCCCCAAAAGCCACACTGAAATACTTAGAAATAATTTATTTGCTGGAAACTGTTCAGTAAAAACATTGGATAATTTATACCTACAAGTTTGGATTCTCACAAACTTGGAAATTTGACTGAATGCCATTACCAATTTGGTTGGAATCCAGTTTAAATTGGTACCAATTAATGTGCCAAACCAAAATCATATTTTGCTATGCTGAAAGGGCAAGAGCATTGATAAATATGTTTATATAGTACTTGTATTATATTAAACTTCAAGAGCACTAGATTTAAATATTAAAATTTTGTGTTATTTTTCAAATTAGATTGAAATCAGATTTAATCTGTTTATGGCATGGAAAAAATGACAGCGAATATGACACCTCACCATGTCCCTCACTATGTACATATGTCGAGCAGATCGTAAGTCGGATGGTAGGTGTATATTGTTCACTCTCTGGGGATACTTTTTGTTGGCAGTAATCTAGTTATGGTCATAGTAACATTATAATGAACAGGTATTTGAGCATGCAGAATTAGTAGAGTGTAGCTTTATTTATGTTTAAAATTTACAATATTTAAATTTTACAGAATGGTCGATAATGAGGTGCTAAATATCTTGCGTCAACGCCAGGAGGACTGTGTGTTATTTGAGGGGCATGACCACGTGCGCAAGTGTGCTAAACTCAGGGAAGAGTATGAAAAAGCTGCTGAGAATTGGTTCATCAAATGTAAGGATAGATGGAAATTTTTTAAAGAATTTGTTTAATATATTATGACTCACATGGGTTTAGATTGTCCATTTCCTACCAAGGCGGAGTGACCCAAAGAAAAAACACATTCACCATTACCCATTCTTTCCAGATGTGTATTGAAATCACAATTCAGCTTACTTTTCTAGTACAACATTGCCACCCCTCCTGAGTGCAGGCACTACCCTTCTCACCTTCAGGACTCAAGTCTGCCTAACTTGTTTTCCTTAATCCCTTCCCTTCATAAACATTATCTTGCTGACACTCCAACAGTGTGGCCATGAAAAACCACTTATCTCTTCTTATCACTTCTTTCTAACACCTTCACACAAGTCTGCTGGATGCTCAAGCCCCTAAAAATTAAAACCTTTTTTAGTTTTCTTCCTCAACCATCCCTGGGCTGATACCTACCCCTTCTATCTTCCATCCCATATTTATACACACTTTTCATCATCCTATCCTCTTTACATGCCTAAATTACCTCAACCCATCCTCAGCCCTCTAACTCATTCCCTTGGCAACTCCACATTGCTTTTTAATTTATACACTGAATTCTCTGCATGATATTCACACCGCACCTCATTCTCTAACACGACGTCTCCTTGTCTCTAGCCTTCTCAGTGCAGCATTCAAAACTCATGCATAACACCCATATGAGTGTTGGTTCCGCTATACTCTGGTGTATGTACAGTGGACCCTCGACCAACGGTTTTAATCCGTTCCAGAGAGCTAGCCTTTAGTCAAATTAGCCATTAGTTGAATTAATTTTCCCCATAAGAAATAATGGAAATAGAATTAATCCGTTCCAGACACCCAAAAGTATTAAACAAAATCATTTTTTTTTACATGAAATACTACAGTGGACCCCCGCCATACGATATTAATCCATTCCTGAGAGCTCATCGTAAGCCAAAATTATCCTGAGGCGAATTAATTTCCCCATGAGAAATAATGGAAATCAAATTAATCCGTGCAAGACACCCCAAAGTATGAAAAAAAATTTTTTTACCACATGAAATATTAATTTTAATACACACAAACTGAAGAAGACATGCACAATTACTACTCTACTTACCTTTAATGAAGATCTGGTGATGATTGATGGGATGGGAGGAGGGGAGAGTGTGGAAGTTATTGTTTAGAAGGGGAATCACCTTCCATTAGGACTTGAGGTAGCAAGTCCTTTTCTGGGGTTACTTCCCTTCTTCTTTTAATGCCACTAGGACCAGCTTGAAAGGCACTGGACCTTTGTCGCACAACAAATCTGTCCATAGAGGTCTGTACCTCCTGTTTCTTTAAGATTTGCCTAAAATGGGCCACAACATTGTCATTGTAATAGTCACCAGCATGGCTTGCAATAGCTGTGTTAGGGTGATTTTCATCCATAAAGGTTTGTGCTTCAACCCACTTTGCACACATTTCCTTAATCTTTGAACTAGGCACAATGGATTCCACAACTGCATAGGCTTCTCAGGGTTAGCCCCAAACCCTTCAAAATCTTTCTTAATTTCCATACTAATTCTCACCCTTTTTACCACAGGGTTGGCACTAGAAGCTTTCTTGGGGCCCATGGTGACTTATTTTGCAGTTACAAGCACAAAAAACACTGGGATAAGGTGAAATGTACCAAATGTATGTGTGGATGCGACTGCACTGGCTGGCTTGTAAACACTGGCACCCACGGGGCAGCTGAGGCCACACGTGGGACACGTCCCAGACGAATCACATAAGGCGAGTTTTTTATCGTGAGGCGAGGCAAAATTTTTGTGTTCAAATGCTTCGTATGGTGGATTTTACGTAACGCGATGCGTTTGTAAGGCGGGGGTCCACTGCATACATTTCCCTACACGAAACGAATGCTACATGCAAAATAAACAAAAATTAAATGCCACTTACCTTTATTGTGGAGTTGTTGATGAGTGATGTGCCAGCAGCAGGGGATATTCAGGTTTTCTATTGTTTGGAAGGGGAATCCTCTTCCATAAAGATTTCAGGTACCAAGTCTTTTGGTGGGGCTACCTCCCTTCTTGGTTTTTTAATGCCACTAGGACCAGCTTGAGTCACTGGACCTCTGTTGCACAAAATATCTGTCCAGAGAGCTCTGTTTCTCACGTGCCCTGAGGATTTCCCTAAAATTGGACACAAGTGTCATTGTACATGTTGCCAATACGGCTTGCAACAGCTGTGACAGGATAAAATTCATCCATAAATTCTTGCACCTTTGTAAACATTGTACACATTTCCTTAATCCTGAGCTGTGATCTGTTGCTGTTGCACATCAAGCTCTTGCAGGTCTGCAGTGGTTAGTTCTTCATTTTGTTCTGCACCAACTCTTCCACATCCTTGCCACAAACCTCCAACCCCATGGATTTCCCCAATGACACAATAACTTCCACAAATGGCATAGGCTCCTGAGGGTTAGCCCCAAACCCTTCAAAATCTCTCTTGTACACATTGTGGCCACAGTTTCCTCCAAGCAGAGTTCAAAGTCCTGCAAGTCACTCCCTCCTAAGCCATACCTATAAGGTTTATGCAACTGAGGATATTGAAGTGATCTTTCCAAAATTGTCTTAGGGTCAATTCAGTGTCTGAGGTCACTTCAAAGCACTTTTGAAACACTGCTTTTGTGTAGAGTTTTTTGAAGTTTGAAATGACCTGCTGTTCCATGGGCTGGAGGAGAGGAGTTGTATTAGGAGGCAAAAACTTCACTTTAACGAAACCAGACTACCCTGCAATTTGCTCTTGCAAGTCGTGAGGATGAGCAGGAGCATTGTCCATTACCGGGAGGCACTTGAGTGACAATTTCTTTTCCAGGAGGTAATTTTTCACAGTGGAGCCAAACACACCATAAAACCAGTCCATGAACATTTCCCAAGTGACCCATGCCTTACTGTTTGACCTCCACAGCACACACAAATTACCCTTGATACTGTTTTTCCTGAGCACACTGGGAGTTTCAGAGTGATACACCAATAAAGGCTTCACTTTGCAATCACGACTAGCATTACTACATAACATTAATGTCAGCCTGACTTTCATAGGCTTATGTCCTGGGAGTGCCTTTTCCTTCTGAGTAATGTAGGTCCTGTTTGGCATTTTCTTCCAAAACAGGCTTGTTTCGTCACAATTAAACACTTGTTCAGGTTTTAAGTTTTCAGTCTCTATGTACTCCTTAAAGTCCTGCACATATTTTTCAGCTGCTTTTTTGTCTGAACTGGCAGCCTCACCATGCCTTACCACACTGTGTATGCCACTACGATTCTTAAATCTCTCAAACCAGCCTTTGCTGACCTTAAATTCATCAATATCATCACTATTATAAGGCATTTTCTTAATGAGATCATCATGCAACTACCTTGCCTTTTCACATGTTATTGACTGAGAGAGACTATCTCCTAATACGTAATTGTTTTTCGTTTATCCACACCAACAACAGTCTTTCCACCTCTTCAATTATTTGCAATCTCCATTTTGAAAGCATACTTGCACCTTTCGCAACAACAGTTTCCTTGATCGCCTTTCTGTTCGCCAAGATAGTAGTGATGGTTGAATGGGGTTTCTTATATAGCCTTTCCAACTCGGACATATGCACTCCACTTTCATATTTTTCAATGGTCTCTTTCTTCATTTCCATAGTAATTCTCACCCTTTTTACCACAGGCTTGGCACTAGAAGCTTTCTTGGGGCCCATGGTGGCTTATTTAGCAGTTTTTTTTTTTTTTTTTTTTTTTTTTTTTTTTTTTTTTAAACACTGGAATAATTCAAAATACAGTATATCGCAGGTATACGTGGAATCAACTGCAACGGCTTGTAAACAATGCCACACTGAGTCTTGGAGTGGCTGGACCTGCTCAGGCCGTGCTCCGGCTTCATGGACATGTTTAGGATGAAAGCCGTTAGATGAGTTTTTCGCCGTTGGTAGTCATTTTTTTTATGCCAAAGAGTGTCGTTAGACGAATTTGCCGTTAGTCGATGCCGCTGTTGGTTGGGAGTCCACTGTACTGTATTTTTCTTTTTTTTATCCCCCATGGATAAACTTTCTACAGTTGCCTCAACACACCACCCACTTTTTTCCCCCTCATCTATTAAGTGGCTCACCTTGTCTTTCATAGACCTAACTGCTGACGTGTCCACTCTCAAATATCTAAATACAACCACTTCCTCCAATCAGATATTCACTGTCATTGCATCATTGCCTAGACTTCATTTGTTACCCTCGTTCTTTGCTCTTTTCTATGTTTACTTTCAATTTCATTCTTTTTATATCCCTTAACAAATTCATCTACCAGCCTTTGCAACTTGTCTGTGGAATATCCTAAAAGAACTGTCATCAGCAAAAATTAACTGTGATAACACTCTTGTATCAAATCTAACATCTTTTAGTCCTACACCCTTTCCCAAGACCATAGCATTCACTTCTTTTACAACCTGCACTCTGAAGGAGGATTGGGGATATTTGCAGTTTGGAGGGGCATCTGAAATGTAGTATTGGCATGCCTCAGGCAAGACAGGGATGGAGTGAATGATGATTAAAGCATTTCTTTTTTGGGTCACCCTATCTCAGTGAGAGGTAGGGTGACCTGAAACTGCCTGTACTAGCAGTTTGAGCTAGTTTGCTACACACACTTGTACATCTACCAAACAAACCACATGCAGCTTTGTAGATAAAACAAGAGATCTTTTAAACTACCACACAGTACTGTATTATTGAAGGGAGTTTGTTGATGGGTAAATAGAATCATTTCCAATGCTTGCATTTTTTGCAATTACTGTAACCCGTTAATACAGTAATGTGTTTTTGCTAGAAATTATTGAGAAAGTTGTTACACACAAAAGATGTTAAATGCCAAAGAAAGATGTTTTCTTTTGCATTGTAAAAATATGCTAGTTTCCTCAATTAAGTATGAATGTTTTGTGAACTAGACTCTTACATGTTGAGATTGGGTAGGACCTGTTTATGTATCTTTTGAGTTTAATATTTTTTTTGTGCAAAATACCTCATGGTTATCAACCAGATATATTTACTTATACTTCATACACTTGTGTAACATTCTCTGTTTCTTCTGCAGATGGTGACCTTGGTGCCTATGGCAATGTGAGAGATGCCTACATGAAGCAGAAACATCGCATGATATGGGAGCGTCGCCATGGACCAGTTGGTTCAGGCATGAAGGACCAATTGGATTAAGATTTAGCTTGTAGGTTCCAGCACTTAGTGCTAAGAATTTTTGTAGAGTTAAATAACAATACTAAAAATTAATTCTTATTAGTTGAAGGTGTTACTACTGAGTACAAAACTACGTACTCAGTCAGTGTTTGAACTTTTAAACAGTGTTAAGAATAAAATTTTGAGTATTGCTAGACTTGGTTGTGTGATGCCATCACATATTGTAAATAATATGTTTAAGATTTTACCTAGAACTTTGTTTTATAACCTTGCCAACTACAATGATGTCTATTGTAAGTATAAATTGCTTCCAAATATAATTATAATTGCATCCACTGTGGGAAGTCATTTTTTTTTTATGGTGAGGGGCATGCAGTCACCATAGATGCTATGGGGCTCGCCATGTTGGATGAGGTTTCAGGAAAATTAATTTGCTAATGCTTCGGCACATTTCATAGTTCAGGACCTCCTAGTGGCAGCATTCATTAATAACCATATTGTTTTGCATCACTAGATTCATATAGTCATCTCATGAAAAGGTGCTTAGTGCCACTCTGCAAGGATTATTTCATTCAGACTAAATATTTCACAATCAGTTGTTCTGTTCATCAGAGTGCACACACTTTCAACCGCTGCCTTCATGTTCCTGATTTATTTAACTTGTCTCTTCTCCTCTGATAGTCATGGAACGACACCCTATTTCTCTCTGTGAGGCTTGTTGGGTCCCTATTATGGTTCTTCACCTTCTTATGGATTGCCTGGTTTACCAGCGAGCTCACAGGATTTACCTCCAACACTGCGGCCGCCCTACTGCTCTTACCTTATCTTCCCTCCTTGCAGACGGCCCTGCCTTTGACTTGCAATCACTTTTTGACTTTTTGTCAGCAACTGCTTTACTGTACGAACTTTGACACATAGCCCTTAGCGTCCCTTCCAGTCCTTTTCTCCCCTCACCTCTGATCCCCTCTTCACCTAGCTGTTTATAGCCCCGGCTCTATTTTCTGCCCCGCAGCACTGCACGACCCTTGTTGGTTTAGTGCTTTTTTTGATTATAATAATACTAATCCTCTGATAGTCCCACCTTTAATACAGTCTTATGTGACTTCTTAATAAACATTGATTTGCTGCATGAATTGTGACTTTCTCTTTTCTCCATTCTTTCTGCCAGTGCCCTTCCCTTGACACTTTTACCTCTTTTTTTTCCCTCTACCATCTCTTTCACCTTTGTCATACACCATTGACTGATCCTTATGGGTTTATTACTTTTGACATACAATGGCTATGTCTCTACAGAGGAGGCAAACTAAAACTTTCCTCTATGCTCACCAAGCATGAGAGAGATATGCATACTACTCATATCTGCTTGCCTGGCAATTGAAACTGGATTTGCAGCCCTAAGGTGGGCAGCAACCACCTTTTGGTGAGTAAGAAGCAGTAAAAAGAAATCTTCAGTAATGGCTTCACTGCATTGGTCTGCTGGGCAGTTTTGGCTAGGGTCAGGTGGACACGAGACTGAATTCTTATGGTCCTGTGGCTGCTAACAACCCCTATGGGTTTAGATCTTCCCCTAAATGTAAAAATGTGGCTGGTACTAGGCCATATGAAAGGTTTTTGTATATCTCCACTAAATGTTGCAGCTACTAGCGATTTTAGTGCCTTGTGCTGAGTGGGAGGATGCAGTCTGTTGTTATTTTTCCAGGTGAGGGATTCTTGGTGCCAGGGATTTGACTTTTACTCGTCTTCCTTTGATTAAATCTAGTTGCCTCTCATTCACTAAGGTGATGTATAACCTCTATGGATTTATACTTTCCCTTAACCCTTTGAGGGTCGACAGGCCCTCTCCGAGACTCGTTCTCAGGGTCGGCCAAATTTAAAAAAAAAAAAAAAATAATTTTTTCTTATGAAAAGATAGAGAATCTTTTCCCGATCATAATGACACCAAAAATATGAAATTTGATGGAAAACTTACGGAATTATGCTCTCGTGAAGTTAGCGGTCTCGGCAATGTTTACGGATCGGCGTTTTTGCCTACTTTGAGCCCCATTTTCGGCCAGTTCCACTGTACTAGTCGACAAAAAACATGATTATTTCGCTAGAACTCCATTTTTTCTATTGAGTGAGTGCAAGAAACCACCCATTTACCAATTTCAACTATCCAGTACAGTGGTCAGAATTTAGCAATTTTGCCAATTTCACACAAATTTCAAAAAATGCCAATTTCCGAATAGGGTCCAGAACAAACAAGAAATACATTCCTGGCACTAAAATGACATTTCATCTGTTCATTAGTCATGTCTCAAGGCCCCTCTTACATTCTTTTGCTTTCCACTTTGAATTTTTATTCTCACAAAAAATAGAAGAATCATATTGGCGCACTTGCAAAAGAATATTAGACTCGCCAGTTGACGTGTATTGGATGCTTGGCATGATTTGTTTACTTTTGAACTTTGGTAAAAATCGAACATTTCTGCTACTTTGAGCTCAATTTCAAGGTACTTTTCATTGTAAAACCAGTCAAAATCATCTCAATTTCTATGATATGCCTTCCATTCCATAAAATGAGACCAAGAAAACTAGAATACAACAATAAATACCATACGAAAATACAGTGCAAAGTCGCTGTTTTATTCCAAAAAAACGGTCAGTTTTTTTTTTTCTCATGCACTGTGTGCTGCAGGATTTTCTTTATACTGTGCACACTGACCACATAGATCCATTCTTTCATATGGAGGCCTACCAGCTTTCTCCCACTAGATTTGAGGGCGCTAGAATTTAGGCGTACTAGTACGTCAAAAACCCTGGGTCGTAAGCCGTACTAGTACGTCAAAAACCCTCTAAGGGTTAAATATCATAATTAATAATTGCTGCACTATTGCAGTATGAAAGGAAGAATGGGAGCATGTGGTGAAGTTATCACCTGACAAGGCTCCTATATAAAGTATTTCTGACATAAAGATCAGTGTACTGCTTTGGAAGTGGGTGATAAACTGGTTGCCACCTAGCTCTAGTCTCCCAGGCTCTACTGGTTTAGCACTTTTTTGATTATAATAATCTCGGGTCTATCTTTGTGTTAAGTCCTTGTGAGAATCTATAGCATTTCATAATTGCCAGCCCTATAATAAGATGATTGCTGGTTTTCAAACACTTGTTTAGATATAAGCTGTGGCAGCTTGTTTAGATGAGCCACATGATACGTACATGTTATGCTCTTTTTTTTTCAACATGCTGGCGGTCTTTCTGAGGCAGGGTGATCCAAAAATAAAGAAACACTTTGACCATTATTCACACATCATTCATCATGCTCATTTTATCACGTATTTATTATGACTGCATCCTATGACATTAGCTTTCCTATTACACTCCTTCAGGGAAGTTTGTTGATGCTGGGGAGGGGCTCTTGATCTAAGATTGGACCTATGTTCTCCTTGTATAGATCACTACTGGATGCTTCTCATACTCCATCCCATGTGCTGTATGACCCCTAAGGGTTTAGCACTCACCATGACTAATAATAATATTAATAATTAACTATTACAGCACTTTAATCACATCTTGTATAGTACTCTGCTTGTTGTTCAGTGTGAGGTAACGAGGTAACATTAGTTCATTACCCACCCAATATGTTAACTTGCTTCATCTGTAAATGAATGGAACATTTTTTCAGGCCTACTGTGAGCCTTTGCAGAGCCTATTCAATGCAAAATGCTGAGAGTCAATAGAGGAACTCTTCATTATCGTAGAGTAATCATTCAGATAGCTCTAACCCTTTCCTCCAGTGCTGTATGACCCTTGTGGATTTAGCACTTAGTTTTGATTATAATAATGCTCTAATCCTTCGAATTAGTTGAGTGAGGAGTCGAGATATGAAGCAGTGTAGCTCTAGACCTGGTAGTGTTTCGCAATCGCTCATAAGTAAAAATAATGACTGGATTCTCAAGAATTCATAAGAAAAGGATCAGATATGGCAAAAGTTGCACTTTGTAATATACTTGAAGCACATTCAAATCCTAGAGAACCAAAGGTGCCTGATCCTTGAACAGGATGTGTTCCCCCATGATTATAATAATAATAATAAACAGGATGTGCCTGTGAAAAGGCATTTTTTTTAATACAGTTGAATTCATAGGCCAGGAGCTGTCCTACCTCAGCAAATTTCAAAGCCCACTCCCCTCAAGGAAGGTTCCTTGATGCTAGTGAGGGGTTCTTGATTTAAGAAATTAGATCTGTTCTCCAGTTCCCAGAATTAAACTTCAATACCTTCCACATCCCCCCTCAGGTGCTGTATAATCCTACGGGTTTAGCGCTTCCCCTTGATTATAAAAATAATAATCAAAGCCTACTCTTAAGATATACCAATGCTGTATAGCCCTTGTGGCTTAGCGCTTCTTTTTGATTAGATGGAAGGAATATTTTGAGGAATTGTTAAATGTTGATGAAGATAGGGAAGCTGTGATTTCGTGTATAGGGCAAGGAGGAATAACATCTTGTAGGAGTGAGGAAGAGCCAGTTGTGAGTGTGGGGGAAGTTCGTGAGGCAGTAGGTAAAATGAAAGGGGGTAAGGCAGCCGGGATTGATGGGATAAAGATAGAAATGTTAAAAGCAGGTGGGGATATAGTTTTGGAGTGGTTGGTGCAATTATTTAATAAATGTATGGAAGAGGGTAAGGTACCTAGGGATTGGCAGAGAGCATGCATAGTTCCTTTGTATAAAGGCAAAGGGGATAAAAGAGAGTGCAAAAATTATAGGGGGATAAGTCTGTTGAGTGTACCTGGTAAAGTGTATGGTAGAGTTATAATTGAAAGAATTAAGAGTAAGACGGAGAATAGGATAGCAGATGAACAAGGAGGCTTTAGGAAAGGTAGGGGGTGTGTGGACCAGGTGTTTACAGTGAAACATATAAGTGAACAGTATTTAGATAAGGCTAAAGAGGTCTTTGTGGCATTTATGGATTTGGAAAAGGCGTATGACAGGGTGGATAGGGGGGCAATGTGGCAGATGTTGCAAGTGTATGGTGTAGGAGGTAGGTTACTGAAAGCAGTGAAGAGTTTTTTACGAGGATAGTGAGGCTCAAGTTAGAGTATGTAGGAAAGAGGGAAATTTTTTCCCAGTAAAAGTAGGCCTTAGACAAGGATGTGTGATGTCACCGTGGTTGTTTAATATATTTATAGATGGGGTTGTAAGAGAAGTAAATGCGAGGGTCTTGGCAAGAGGCGTGGAGTTAAAAGATAAAGAATCACACACAAAGTG